AGGGCACATGCCTGGGTTGTGGGCTTGATCCCTAGTAGGGGGTATGCAGGAGGCAGCCGATCCTTGATGTCCTTCTCTCATCATTGTTTCTCTCTATCCCTCTCTCTTCCTCTCTGAAATCAATAAAAATATATTTAAAAAGAAAAAAAATAGTACCGGGCGGGCCTCTGAGCGACCTGTTCCTGCCGCTCATGCCGCCTCAGTCGTAGCCGAGGGCCACCGCGGTGCCACCCACTTGGGGGGGGAGGGGACAACACGTAGGCTTCAGCCCCAAATCTCTACTGATTTTGTCTATAGTCTTTAACTTAGAAGACATACAAACTACTTTTTGAAAGATCAGACAGAGACCGAAAACCAGGACTACAGGCTTTATTAGAGAAGGACCTGCGGGCTGTCTGGCAAGGGGAGGACAGCAACTCGTGCAGGGTGGGCGCTCCTTTTGAGGGGCGGAATGGGACGGAATGGGGACTTAGAGTACTCGGGGCACGCTGATGGGTGGCTTAATGTATGGTCCATATAAGAACAAGGGCTTAGGGCAGTGGTTCTCAACTTTTCTAATGCCGCGACCCTTTAATACAGTTCCTCATGTTGTGGTGACCCCCAACCATAAAATTATTTTTGTTGCTACTTCATAACTGTAATTTTGCTACTGTTATGAATCGTAATGTAAATATCTGATATGCAGGATGTATTTTCATTGTTACAAATTGAACATAATTAAAGCATAGTGATTAATCACAAAAACAATATGTAATTATATATGTGTTTTCCGATGGTCTTAGGCGACCCCTGTGAAAGGGTCGTTCGACCCCCAAAGGGGTCGCGACCCACAGGTTGAGAACCACTGGCTTAGGGTATTTGGCAGGTGTGGATTGGTGGTCCAATGTATAGTCCTCCATATAAGCCTGGTTAGTCACTCAGGTATTTCCCGGCTGCCGGTTACATCATACTCCGCCCACCAGTTGGGGGGAAGGGAGGATCTATCACTTTTGGCCTCGGTAGAGAGTTTCTATTAAAGCTTATTCCCCAAACTCTCTGGGACAAGCTGATCACTCTCATTTATGCCATTGTTTACATACTTCTAACCTCCAATAACTTCATGTCTGACAATGGCACTGATGCCAATATGCTGGTACGCATGCAGCTTGCTGTACTGCAAGAAATGATTGTTTGTCTCTGACCCAGGGGTCTCACATCTCACACCAGCACCCATGAAACTGGCAAGCTAACTTGTTAATTTGAAAATAGGGCAAAATCTCAGACTCCTCATGGTTTCTGACAATTACTTCCTAAATTCCTGTCATTATCTTACATATTTCTTATTAACGTCTTACTTATAGCGTTTTTCTCAGACACTAATTTACAATCTGCTTTTTAACAACCTTGGGTACAGATGTGTTCTTGCTTTTAGAAACTCGGTAGCCTGGAAAACCCCAGAGACAGTAATTTTTAAAATTGCCCCAGGCAATTCCCCCATGTACAGCTAAGGGTGAGAACTGCCGACTTGATAACATTTCCCCGTTCAACGTGATATATCTTCTTTTTAGTGTATAATAGTGTTCTGACATACGGCAGTTATTTTCACTTTATAGACAGAGGTAAATATATATACACACGGAGATGTAGCTATGTGCATAGACAGTATAATACTAATTTTAAAATAATGGCAACGAAAATGCTTACACTCGAGTAGGAGGAGAAATCCTCCAATCCAGAGCGCCCGTCTAATGACGCCAGAGGACCTTCTCTGGCTTGACTCCGCCCCTCGACATTGTGTGGCGCCGCGCGTGCGTGGTCCGCTCTTCCCGAGCCGTCGCTCCTCTA